AAGAAAGACCAGACTTCCTGTTCTGACAGAGACTGGAGAAACCCCAAGAGGACAGCCCCCGGGAACCTTATAGCTCATAATGAAGACATTCCTGAGGTTCACCCTTCAAGCCAAAGGTTAGACAGGTCTACCGGGCAAACAAAAACATACCTGAGGAATGCGTTTCGTAGTTTAATTATGTATAAGAGATTAAATGGGCACACCAGCGCAAAAGCAAAGACGACAAGGCAGGAAGCGACAGGAAAACTGGACGAACAGAAGCAGGGAACCCAGGGTGGAGAAGGGGAGAGTGCTGACACCTTGCCGGATTGGCAACCAGTGTCACAAAACAATCTGTGTATTGTTTAATGAGAAACTAATTTGCTCAGTAAACTTCACCTAAAGTACAATTAAAAAATAAAAAAGAAGTGAGGATGGAAAGACTTCATCTCATGTACTTTGGACATGTTATCAGGAGGGACCAGTCCCTGGAGAAGGACATCATATAAAGTAGACAGTGAGTGAAAAAGAAGAAGACCCTCAATGAGACAGACTGACACAGTGGCTACAACAATTAGCTCAAGCATAGCAATGACTGTCAGGATCATTCAGGACCAAGCAGGGTTTCGTTCTGTTGCACACAGGGTTACTATGAGTTAGACAGCACCTAACAACAACAACCAAATAGCGGACATATCTGTCTGTTGATGCTGATAACACAGGAGATTAATCTTATATAAAAAACTTAATGCAACAGTTAAATAGAGTCCACCCTCTATGTCTTTAACAGAGCATCTGGGTATGAATGGTTTTAAAAAGTACGTATAATTAGCCATCAAAGCACAGTCAAATCATCCATCTGAAATTATAACAAGGAGCCCTGGTGGTGCAGTGGTTAAAGTGCTTGGCTGCTAACCAAAAGGTCAGTGGTTCAAACCCATGAGCCTCTCCATGGGAGAAAGGTGTAGCATTCTGCTTCTGTAAAGATTTCAGCCTTGGAAATCCTATGGGGCAGTTCTACTCTGTCTTACAGGGTCACTATGAGTCAGAATCAACTCAAGGGCTGTGGGCTTGGGCTTGGTTTTTTGAAATTATAATGGGTTGGATAAGGTTTTACTTATTTACTTACATACTTCCTCTGAAAGTGTCTGCCAATCTAGTCAACAACATATACAGAATGTTTATTTTTGTACCAGGAAATGTGCTTGGCACTGTGCTTGGATTGTCTCACTTCATTTAGAATAATAATATAAACAAACTGAGGAGAAACAAGTATTTAACATTAAATATTTTAATGCAAATGGGTCCTTATAATTAAAAGCCATTCTAAGATTAAAGCACTCTTCCCAGGTAATGGTGCTTGAAAGAAAACGCAGCTTTTGATAAGTCTCTATAATGCAGACATTTCTCAGCTCCCGAGTACTATTTCTCCATACATTCTGGATCTTCATATTACATTCCAGGGACACACCTAAATTAATAGTAAAGAAAAGGAGATACCTAGATGCTAATGAGTAGCAGGTGAAAGTTCAGGATTAAAAAGTTCTCAAGGAACAACATCCAAATGTGCCTGTTCAACGATATGATCTTTCCTATTACACTACCTACTTTTTAACACAAGGTTCAAAATCCTGCAGTTTCCTACAAGTGAGAACATTAAATCATCTGTGCTCCCTTAATTTCCTTAATTCTAAACAAGACAAACAATAGTTCTACAAAAACTTACCTGTACTACTTGTTTCTGTGGTTGTGTTGCCTGTGTTGCTGAAATCTGTGGTTTTTCCCGAGCACCTCGGGAACGGTCACTGGTCACCGAAGTCATCATATACAGTATATACAAAATAATGTATGTACAAAATAGAAAATCTGCAAGAAAGCAGGCATGGTAAGCAAAACTTCCAAATCACAGAAAAAAGGTTAAGAATAAAATACAGGGGTGAGGAGAACACATGAGATAAAATATAAAAGCTCTCGAACACAAATTCTTAAGAAACAGGCTTTCAGAATTTTCGATTGTGCAGGTAGCTCTTAAAACAATTTTACTCATGCAATCTAGACATCTGTGGTTTACAGTTTTAGCAATTCTAAATAAAAATCTTAAGGACCACCAGTTTTAACGGGCAATCATTTTAGCACTACGTGTATTTATTTCTACATGTAGTTCTATCTGGCTCTTCCCACTTGCAGTTGATATGTGAATTCAAAGTCAACACTGCTTCCAGTCAAGATTTTATCTGGCAATAATCCAGTTTAAAATGTGATCTCCACGGCAAGCCATATCCAAAGGCAAAAAATACCTATAAACAATCAATCTCCCAAAGAGACAAAAAAAAAAAAAAATGTACATGTAATTTTCCTTCATTAAATTAACAAACGTTTATTGAATAACTACTAAGTATCAAGCCCTGGTGGCACAATGGTTAAGAGCTCGACTGCTAACCAAAAGGTCGGCAGTTCGAATCCACCAGCCACTCCTTTGAAACCCTATGGGGCAGTTCTACTATATGCTATAGGGTCGCTATGAGTCAGAATCGACTCAACAGCAATGGGTTTAAGTTCTGTTTGTTTTTTATCAAGCACATAAATAACATAATATGCCATCAAAACATGATTATACATAATCATGAGATACTCTTTATACAAAACTTAATCTTATCTACTATCCAATAACTGAACGACATGAACACTCTTCACTCAGGTCTTCTTAAAGGGTTCTCAGATAAAGCATTTTGAATGCCAACTATGAGCAAGATAATGTGCTACTACTAGCAAAGTAGTGAAGAGCAGAGGTAGGAACTGTAATTAGATGGCCCTCTATACCTGCACTGTCCAATGCAGTAGCAACTAGCTATATATGGCTACTGAGCACTTGAAATGTGGTTAGTCCAAATGTGCTGTAAGTGTAAAATACACATCGGATTTCAAAGACTTAGTACAAAAAAAAGAAAGTAAAATCTCTAATTATTTTATATTGATTATATGTTGAAGTGATAACATTTTGGATATACTGGGTTAAATAAAATATTATGAAAAGTAATTTTTCCATTTCTTTTTTAATTTTTAAAATGCTACTAGAAAATTTTAAATTAATACATGGCTTGGCTCACATAATATGCTATTAGGCGGCACTATTTTTACTGTGGAGCCCTGGTAGCACAGTGGTTAAGAGTTCGGCTGTTAACCAAAAGTCCAGCAGTTCAAATCCATCAGCCACTCCTTGGAAACCCTAGGGACAGTTCTACTCTGTCTTATACAGTTGCTATGAGTCAGAATTGATTCGACGGCAACAGGTTTAGATTTTTTTTTACTGTAAAATAACATGATATTACTTAACTATAAAAATACTTCCAGTCAAAACACTGCAGATAAAGACGTTTATCACTGTTCATCAGCAAGCCCCATTCAAATGACATACCTTTTATTTAACCAAAAAAGAGGAGGGGGTCACCACACATAAACCCATAAGAATGAAAAACTAGGAAAAAAGATAGCAACAAAACTTTATAAGCTAGAAAGCTGCTAGACTTATGTATTTCATGGACCAAGAAAGTATCCTACATTAGCAGTGGAAAGCCTAGAAGGAGATCAATCCTTGCTGCTGCACCCTAGAAAGGCTAAGGAATTGAGGGCACCAAATAATGATGAAGGTAAGGGTATTTATGGGCTGGAAATAAAAACAGATTAGTTCAAAATCGATATAAGAGGCAATAAACTCCCAGAACCCTTCCCAAAACCACACAGCTGTGTAGTTACTTCATTTCCATCCTAGTCAAGGTCCCTAAGGTTTACTCTCCAGAAAGATGGAACCAAAGTTACTCAAAGATACCAGGCCCAGCTGAGGGACTCGATGTTGTTATTGCTATGCGTCATCAAGTCCAACTCACAGTGACCCTATACGAGAGTAGAACAGCCCCATAGGGTTTCCTAGGCTGTAATCTTTATGGAAGCAGATCACCAGGGCTTTCTCCTTTGGACCCACTGGTGGGTTCATGGGTTCGAACCTCTGACCTTTCGGTTGGCAGCCAAGTGCTTAACCACTGTGTGAGCAGGGCTCCTTGAGGGACTCAATACTGCTCTGAAAATAGGAGGATTAAGTGTAATCTACATACTAACCAGGTGGACTTTCATCTCCTTCCTCTACTTATTTCTATGGTCACAGGAGGATGGAGGAGTTATCTCTGGGGAAACTAACCAGCCCAAGATAAAAGTCTTATAGAAACTGACATTTGAGGGTACCCAATGAATCAACCAGCTCAGTCAGATCACTTACAATGATGCCCACCAGTCTCTAGGCCCTGATCAGGCTCACAGGACTCCATCAGATTTCATGGGCCTTACCCAAGGATTACCAGACATTTGAGAAAGGTATCTAAACATGAAAAAGTCAAAATAAATAAGGGGATAAAAAAGGACCTCCGAGGAAAAAAAAACATTGTAGTGAGAACACTTACAAGAGAAAAAAACAATTTCCTCAGAGAGATAATATATTATAGTCACAAAAGAACAGCATGCTATTTTAAAATGTACACTGAGAGAACAAAAGAGATCTTCAATACGACAGCATAAGTAACAGACATAGACTCACATAAAGCAGAATAACAACAAAAGTAAGACTCAGTCCCGGTAGCCCAAAAGCTTCAGGAGTTCCAGAAAGGAAGAAATCTAGGAATGGAGGGGAAGTCACAGAAATAACTTAAGAAAATTTCCCACAACTGAAGAACATTTTTAGTTTTCAGAATGGGAGAACTCTAAGCACTGTAAATTAAGGGGGTGGAGGGAAGAGGTCCATTGAAGCACTTCAGAACTCTGGGGGCAAAGTGAAGATACTAAAGATTTCTAGAAAAAGAAAATTAGGTCATATATACACAATCAAGAATCAGAATGGCAGAGGACTTCAACAGCAACAATGCAGTGTAACAATTGTGTTTAAAGGCAAATAACTTCCAACCTAGAATTCTACACAAAGCAAAAACACCAATCAATTTGAAGACAGAAACACGTCGTTTTCACATATGCAAGACTTCATAAACCCTCAGGAGGCTCCTGGAAAATCCGTGTTGGTAAAACAAAAGAGCAAACCAATCAAGAAGGTATATGCACAGAACTAAGATGGTGCCCGGCTACCACTACCGACCATTCTGATCAGAGCCACCCACAACAGATGGACCCTGGTAGAACGTGAGAAAAACACAGAATAGGACTCAAATTCTTAAAAAGTCCAGACTTACTGGACCAGTTGAGACTAGAGGACTCCCTGAGACTATCACCCTGAAATACTCTTTAAACCTTGAACCAAAGCTATTTCCTGAGGTCACCTTTTAGTGAAATAACAGATTGGCACATGAGTACAGGGCTCCATTAAAAAACCTCCTGTGATGGTTAAGATTGTGTGCCAACTTCGCTGGGCCATGATTCTCCCATGTTTTAATGTAATCATTCCCATGAGTGAATATACTGTGAGTAGCCAATCAGATGATTGAGGGTGTGGCCCGAATCTGTATATAAG